GGTACTGGATGCATTTTGACACGAACCTCAACAATTTTTTCCCCAAAGCTTGACCATTTGCCCCAAAGTTTGACTCTTTGCCTCAAACTTCAACTGTTCTTGCTCCAAGCCTTGACAGTTTTGACCCAAAACTCAGTCATTTGCACCAAATCTCAACTATTTGCCTCAAAGCTTGCCTGTTTTTCCCTCTAACCTCCACCATTTGCCCCACACATTGATGTTTTTTGCCCCAAATCTCGACCATTTGCCCCGACCCTTGACCATTTGCCCAAAACCTCAACAATTTTTGCCCTAAATCTCAACCATTTGCCCCAAATCTCGACTCTTTGCCCCAAACCTCGGCTTATCCCAGCATCTTTCCAATGCCCTAAGGCTTGATCCCTGCTGGGTACCCAGACCCTGGCCCTAACCCACTTAATTATTAGCCTTAACTAGGAAGGGCTGGAGGAGAAATTTTATTTTAAGCACTAATACACTTCATTATTAGTCAAAAGAGACTTAACTTTCAACCCTTATAATTTTTAGCCTTAATTCAGGGAACCTCGCATCTAAATTTAAATGTAGCCCAAAATTGAGGTGCTGACGGCATCAGCTGTAATTAAAAGCCTGAAAATGAGAACAGGAACTGAAACTGGGGGAAAAAAGGCCCTTTTTGGGGTTTCAGGTGTATTGATGGGTATTTTTGGCGGCAGCAGCTGCGCAGGAAAGTCTTCCAGACCTCCTGGGAGCAGCTCCAGGCTGGCAGCAGCCTCGGGGGAGCAAATGTGGGGTCCTGGGGGGTCTGGGCTGGGTGCCGGGCTCCGGGCTGGGTCCGCAGGCTCAAGCTCGGTGCGTGGGACCAGGCTTGGGGCAGGAGCCTGGGCTGGGAGCAAAGGGCCTGGGCTCAGGGCAGGGGTCTGGGTTTCAGGGAGAGGTTGGAGCATAAGGTTGAGGTTTGGGGCAAATCTGTTGAGGTTTGGGACAAAAATGATCAAGGTTTGGGGCAAATGGTCAAGATTTTGGGCAAAACTAGTTGAGGTCTGCGGCAAATAGTGAAGCTTTGGTGCAAATGGCTGAGACTTCATGCAAACAGTCGAAACTCGGGGCAAATGGTTGTGGTTTGGGGCAAAAAAGTTTGAGACTTGCGAGAAATGGTGGAGACTCCCATTAAGTGACCGAGGTTTGGGGCAAACGGTCTAAGTTTGGGGAAAATGGTCAAGGTTTGGTGCAGAAATTACTGAGGTTTAGATCGAAAATTGTTGAGGTTTGTGACAAATGGTTGAGGTTTGGGGCAAAACCAGTCAAGACTCGAGGCAAAAGCAGTCAAAACTTGGGGCAAGTGTTCGAGACTTGGGGCAAATGGTCGAGGTTTGGGACAAAACCAGTTGAAGTTTAGGGCAAATAGTTGAGATTTGGTGCAAATGGTCAAGGCTCGGGCGAGCTGTCGAGGTTTGCAGGAAACAGTAGAGGTTTGGGACAAACCGTTGAGATTTGGTAGAAACAGTTGAGGTTTGGGGTAAAAACGGTTGAGATTTTAGGCAAACGGTCGAGGTTTGGGGCAAAGAGTTGCTGTTGACCAAATGGTCAAGACTCGAGAGAAATAACCAAGTTTTGATGCAAATGTTTGATGTTTGGGGCAAACAGTTGAGACCTGGAGCAAATGGTCTAAGGTTTGGGGCAAAACCAGTCAAGATTTGGGGCAAACATTTTAGACTTGGGGCAAATAATTGAGACTCATGGAAAACGGTTGAGGTTTGGGGTAATAAAGTTCAAAACTTGGGGCAAACTTTTTTGGGGGCAAACAACTGAAATTTGAGGTAAAAATGGTCGAGGTTAGGGGTAAAATGGTTGAGGTTTCAGGCAAAGTGTTGAGATTTGAGGCAAAGGGTTGAGATGTCAGACAAGCAGTCAACATTTGAGGGGAAATGGTCGAAGTCGGGGGCAAACAGTTGAGGTTTGGGGCAAAAACTGTTGAGATTGGGGGCTAACAGTTGAGATTTCATGTAAATGGTTAAGACTTGGGGCAAATGGTCGAGGTTTAGGCCAAAAACCATTGAGATTTGGGGCAAACAGTTGCGATTTGGCTCAAACAGTCAAGACTTCGAGCAAACAGTTGAGTCAGGGAAAACGGTTGAGGTTTGGGGCAAAAAAGTTTGAGACTCAGGGCAAAAGGCCCAGATTTGGTGCAAAAACGGTCGAGGATTTGGGCAAATAGTTGAGATTTGATGCAAAATGTTGAGATTTGGGGCAGAACTGGTCGGTTCTTAGGGCAAATAGGTGAGACTTGGTGCAAATGGTTGAGACTTCAAGCTAATGGCCAAGACTCGGGGCAAATGGTGGAGGTTTGGGACAAAACCTGTCAAGATGTGGGGAAAACAGTTGAGGTTTGGGGCAAGTAGTTCAAGGCTTGGGGCAAGTAGTTCAAGACTTGGGGCAAATGCTGTTGACGCTTGGGGCAAACAGGCAAACTTTGGGGCAAATGATCATGTTTTGGGGCAACCCACTGAGGTCTGGGGCAAATGATTGAGGTTTGAATCAAAAACAGTCAAGGTCTGTGGCAAACGGTCAAGATTTGGGGCAAAATGATCAAGACTCGGAGCAAACGTTCCAGATGTGGGGCAAAACCTGTCAGGATATGGGTCAAAAATGATTGAGGTTTGGGTCAAAACCAGTCCACCACCAGCACCTCTCGTGCAGTAGTAGGTGGCCGTGTCGTCAGCCCTGAGGCTGTTCATCTGCAGCGTCACCGTGCTCTGGGCGTTGTCCCTGGAGATGGTGAAGCGTCCCTGGACCAACGGCACGTAGTATGCGGTACTACCAGTGTTGGTAATAAGCGCGACCCACGCGATCCCCTTCCCGGGCGCGTGTCGCACCCAGTACATGGCGTAGCTGCTGAAGGTGAAGCCGGAGGCCTTGCAGAGGAGGGTCAGGGACCCCCCGGGGGTCTGGAGGCCCCCTCCGGACTCGACCAGCTGCACGGCCGCCCGCAGTCCTGGGGAAGGAGGAAAGGGACAGAATTGAGTTGCCCGCTCCCGGCATCGCCCCCCATAGCCATATCCTTGCCAGTACCTGGCCCCCAGCCCTGTTTCCAGACCCGTGACCCAAACTCAGACCCCTTGCACTGAGCCCAGACCCCTGCAAGCGCTCCGGCTTGGGGAAGGAGGAAAGGGACAGAATTGAGTTGCCCGCTCCCGGCATCGCCCCCCATAGCCATATCCTTGCCAGTACCTGGCCCCCAGCCCTGTTTCCAGACCCGTGACCCAAACTCAGACCCCTTGCACTGAGCCCAGACCCCTGCAAGCGCTCCGGCTTCACCTTCAGCAGCAACGACACGGCTGGGTG